GGGAAAAGAAGTAGAGGAGAAGAATGGAAAAGCAGAACGAGAAAAAAGGAGGAAATGAAGGAGAGAAAGAGGGAGGAGGAGAACAAGAGGAAAGAAAACGAGGAAAAGGAGGACAGGAAGAAGAAGCAGATGGAGAAGAAGGAAAAGAGGAAAAATAAAGAAGCAGCAGAGAGAAGAGATGGAGAAGAGAGAAGAACAAGGGGGGGGGGTTAAAGAGGAGGGAAAGAAGGAGAGGAAGAAGAGAGGAGGAGAAGGTGAAGGGAAGGAAAAAGAGGAGGAGGAGAAGAAAAAGGAAAGACGGCGAGGGAGCCACCCAAAGGATGCCCCGCGGTAACGGGGACAATGACGCGATCGAGGCAGCCCGGCGCCACCGCCTTTCCTGAGCGGAGCGCGGCGCCTTTAAGCCGGGGACTCCGCCTCGGGTCAAGGCGTGTTTGCGGGGCTGTTGCTGCTGCTACTGCTGCTGTTTGTCCCGGACTCGCGCGGCGGGATCCTCGCGGGGAGCCGGCGAATCCCCGGGGCGCGGCGAGTTCCAGGTACCCCAAAACTCTTCCCCAAAGCCTGGCGCGCTCGGAGTCGGCGCTCCGGACTTCTCCAAATAGGCGCCTCTCCTTCCTCCTCCTCGGACCAGCCCTTGACTGCTGCTTTTGTCAAGTCCCGGATCCGGCTTGGTCCGGGGAGCCGGTGCAGCAGGGAGGGTCTTGGGAAACGAAGCCCTGGCCTGCAGCGATCCCTCTGCCCCTCCGCCCGGGTTTCTAACTTGGCTTTTGGACCGGTTCCGAATTGGGCTGGAAGGGAGCGAATCTGTCTCTGCAGCAAAGTTTTGGTTGGGGGTGGGGTGGGGATCGATTGAGCAAAGTGGAACTTAGCGGGTTGTGCGGGTGGTGTGTGTGTGTGTGTCACTCTGTGTAAGCTCAGAGGTACAGGTTGTGCATGTGTTGGGGGTGTTCTTCACCAACTTCCCAAGAACTGGAGTATTTCTTCCATGAAAGTCATTGCAAGAAACGGGTTTCAGCATTTATATACTTTTAAAAATCCTTCTCGCTGCCCCTCACTCCTTTCCAAATATTCTTGAGTGTATTCTGGTTTCTGGACTGGAATTTAGGCAAAGGTTTAGAGTTTAGATATGGCTTTAGAATTTAAACATGGCTTTAGAATTTAGATATGGCTTTAGAATTTAAACACGGCTTTAGAATTTAGATATGGGATTAGAATTTAAACATGGCTTTAGAATTTAGATATGGCTTTAGAATTTAGACATGGCTTTAGAATTTAAACATGGGTTTAGAATTTAGACATGGCTTTAGAATTTAAACATGGATTTAGATATGGCTTTAGAATTTAAACATGGATTTAGAATTTAGACATGGCTTTAGAATTTAAACATGGATTTAGAATTTAGACATGGGTTTAGAAATTAGACATGGATTTAGAAATTAGACATGGGTTTAGAATTTAGACATGGGTTTAGAATTTAGACATGGGTTTAGAAATTAGACATGGATTTAGAAATTAGACATGGGTTTAGAATTTAGACATAGTTTTAAAATTTAGATATGGGTTTAGAATTTAGATATGGGTTTAGAATTTAAATATGGGTTTAGAATTTAAATATGGGTTAAGTTGAGAGTTTAGACAAGGTTTTAGAATTTTGACATGGGTTTAGAATTTAGATATGAGTTTAGAATTTAGATATGGCTTTAGAATTTAGACAAGGGTTTAAAATTTAGACAAGGATTAGTGTTGGGAATTTGACCATAACTCTGTACATTACAATCACAAATTGTACCGTTAACGATACACATGTATATATGCAGGTGGAAATTAAATTTCAGCCGCCTTTTTGACACTGCTTTGGAGTTTGCGACTGAGATCCCTTGAGCCACAAATCATGTTTAGTGAAGCATGATGGCTACATTTGCCATGCCAACCGGAATGTGTAAGGGCATCAGAGCAATTTATTTAGAGAGTATGATTTATGTGGCGCACGGAGCATGTCTTGGAAAAACGAAGTCAGGTCAACTGTACTTTTGGAAATGTGTGGTCGGGTGAGGGTGTGTGGAGAAATTGTATTGGATGACCTCAAGCAGGTATTTATGCTTATTCTGAATTGAGGGGCATTTTGTGCATGCTCAAGAACTGCAGTTTAACATTCTGCAAGTGAGACTTAATTTATTAATTTTCATCCCACCTTTATTATTATTTTTATAAATAACTCAAGGTTGTGAATACACACAATGCTCCCCCCACCAGTCCTTTTTTCCCCATAACAACAACCCTATGAGGTGGGCTGGGCTGGGAGACTGGCCCAAAGGTATCCAGTCGGTTTTCATGCTAAGGCAGGACTAGAACTCACAATCTCCTGGCTTCCAGGACAGCACCTTAAACCCAGGAAGCTTGAGCCCCAGAACAATTTAATTAGCTACGTATTGGTTTGCTTATATGCGGGTTAAGACAGTGTGTTTGCTCCTAGCTGTTGTATTCAATGAGTGGCTTGAGGATAACGCTTATTATGATGGGTGAAGCCAATTCTGGTTTGTTTACTGAACAGTAGCAGGAACTGGGCAGGGCTAGTCTAGGGAAGAGAAGGACCAGGGGAGACATGATAGCGGTCTTCCAATATTTGAGGGGCTGCCACAGAGAGGAGAGGGGGTCAGGCTGTTCTCTAAAGCACCCGAAGACCAGACAAGGAACAATGCTAAACAAAGAGAGATTTCACCTGGAAATAAGGAGAAATTTCCTGACAGTGAGAACAATCAACACATGGAACATAAGTTGCCTTCGGAAGTTGTGGGAGCTTCATCACTGGAAGCTTTCAAGAAGAGACTGGACTGGCATCTGTCAAAAACGGTGTAGGGCCTCCTGCTTGGGCAGGGGGTTGGACTAGATGACCTACAAGGTCCCTTCCAATTCTGGTTTATGCTTGCGGTGCTCATTTCAGTATCCCAAATTAGTAAAGTGACAAACCTAGCTAGTCGTAATCCTCAACTTAAAACAGTTCATTTAGTGACCATTCATAGTTACAAAAAAAGCGTCTCATCACCGATTTTCCGCACTTATAACCGTTGCGGCCATCTCCATGGTCAGGGAATCAAAATTCAGACGCTTGGCAACTGACTCCTATTTAGTGACGGTTGCAGCGTCCGCGGGGTGTGTGTGTGTGTGTGTCACACAATCCCCTTTTGTGACTTTCTGACAAAGTCAATGGGGGTGAAGTCGGATTCACTTAACAACCATGTTAACTAGATTTAACAACGGCAGGGATTCACTTAGCAACTGTGGAGAGAAAGGTCATAAAACGAGGCAAAGCTCCCTTTAGAAATGCCTCGCTTAGCAGCAGAAATCTTGGGCTCAATTGTGGTTGTAAGTCTCTTTCTGTAGAGATATTTTAAAAAAACCACATATCTTTGCAATAATTGATAAGTATCCTGCCTGTGATTAATTAAACACACGATTAATCCATCCTAGCCAGGGGTGGACTTCAAAAAATGTAGCAACCGGTTCTCTGTCTGGTTCCTGGGTGGGCGTGGCCATGATGGGTGTGGCCTAGTTGGCCTCCTGCACTACCGGGTGTGTGTGTGTGTGTATGTTTTCAGCCTCCCCAGGCTCCGGAGGCTCTCTGGAAGCTGGAAACAGTCCCA